CTGGACAGACGGGGCGGGGCCTGGAGTGAGGGGTGGGGCCCGAGCCTTGGACCCGCAGCCCACAGAGCTGTGAACCAGTGTAGTGTCCCCCGCCATGGGGAGTCCAGGCTTGGCCCCTTCTCAGCGTCGCACTTTTAGCAACAACCACCAAGCCAGCATGAGCCTGGACCAGGCTGCTCGAGGCAGGCCCTTCCCCAAGGCCTGGGGCCCTGCCCATGACCCCTCAGTGTGCTGCTGGGGCACAGTGTGCCGCCAGCATCACCGGCCTGACTGACCCTCCAGGGTGCCCGCACGTCCGGGGTCCAGCTGGGAAAGCTGGGGCTCTGAGATGAGTGGGGTTCAGAACTGTCCCCTGCGTTGCGTGGTCCTGAGGGGGCAGGTGTGTCCGGACCCCAGCCCTCAGTCCCATAGCCTAGCTTTTCCGGAAGCATCTCCAGCAGGACACTGAGAACGGACGCCCTTCATCGTCACACACACCCCAGCAGCAAGGACTCAGCTGCCGGCTCCGTGGACTTAAATAGAAGGGTTAGGGATGGGAGGGACAAGACTGACCCCTCTGGGAGGCCTGACTCTGCTGGCCTTTATCAAGGTCACCATCAAGCTGGTTGGACAAGTTTGGGCCTGTGGTCAGACCTCTGCTAAGGGCCCTGCTTTAGGCAGCTCTAGCCTCAGTTTCCCCAGTGGTGAGACAGTATAGTAACAGTACCCTCGGGTTGTCAGAGGGTCCACACCTGAATGCCCTCCATCATGGTGTGGCCCTCAGTGCTGGCCAGGGGGCGCCGGAGCCTCCCTGACAGGGGCCCCCGCCCACACAGCTTGCTCAGGGGCGCCCAGGCCGTCGTCCCAGTCCATGGCGCCTCCTCTCTGCCACTCTGCTCTTCACGCTAACCCCGCCTGGCCTGTGGGCACAGGGGGTGAGCAGACTGAGCAGGCTGGGCGAGGGCCCACAGGGCCACTCACAGATCGCCCGGGCTGGCGGGCCCTGGCCCCGGAGAGGCCCCTACGAGTCAGCGTCCCCAGCCGAGTCCCGCTCTGTGTGGACCGGGTGGGGCCTGCGCGCCTCCCTGCGGAGAGGGCAGGGGCAGGGGAGGCTGCACCGCGCTGACCACCTGGCCCTGCTGCAGGATCCAGAGCAACTACATGGCGCTGCAGAGGATCAACCAGGAGCTGGAGGACAAGCTGTACCGCATGGTGAGGCCACGCCCTGCTCCAGCTCTGGGCCGTGGGTCGTGCCCGGCTGCCTGTCCAGCTGCCTGCCCAGCTGCCTGCCCGCCCGCCCATGTGGGAGCGCCCCGGCCCTTCCGTGCCCTCAGAACAGGAAGCCCTAGGTGTGGAGCGGCCCGGGGCTGTGGCCTGCAGGCTGAGCAGGCAGTGGAGGGTGCCGGCTTGGGGCGTGTGGCCCCCGACCCTTTCCGGGGTGAATGAAGGAGACCAAGCTTCGCCTGCCCCGGTGTGGGCGACACGCCCTCCGAGGCAGCCTGGGTGCCCTGTCTCTGCTGATGGGCCAGCGGGATGGCAGCTTGGGGGTGGGGAGGTGGACGTGGAGGCTGTGGGCTCCTGGGCACCCCTGAACTCAAAGCGCGCCCTGTACCGGGCGGCTCAGGCCGCAGGCCCGGAGTCCCCTCCGCCAGGATGGGGCCGCTAGCTCAGCTACCGGCTTGTTTGGGTTTTGAAAACCAGAAGCTGTGTTTACTGCTGACCCGTCCTCAAAGTGCCTGGGGCGGGGTTCTCAGCTGGGGACCCTGGACAAGGGTCCCCGGGACCGCTTCCCCATGCGGCGAGCGAGTCAAGCCCTGCTCTGGCCAGGCAGCCGCAGGCGGGACGTGGCCCTTCCCCCTTCTTAGGCGAGGCTGGGGCGGGAGGGACGTCCCCAAGGCCGTCTGGCTGCCCGAGGTGCGGCCAGGTTGAACTGGGTGGACCTGTGCTTGAGCCCTGTCCCCCTGGCCCTGCCCACGCCCCCTCGTGGGCTGCCAGAGGCGCTGCCCGCGGCGGCTAGAGCCCCAGGCCTCACCAGGCCTCCTTCTGCCCCGGGCAGGGCCAGCACTATGAGGAAGAGAAGCGAGCGCTGAGCCACGAGATTGTCGCCCTCAACAGCCACCTGCTGGAGGCCAAGGTGACCATCGACAAGCTGTCAGAGGACAACGTGAGTCCCGGGCCGTTCGGACACCGAGGTCCACGCCCAGCCGCTGCAGACCCCGCTCAGGAGCTGGCACGGGAGAGCTGGACGGACAGGCGGCCGGGGCCCTCCAGGGAGGAGCCGGTGCAGGGTCCCACAGGCCCCAGCTGGCAGGAAACAGCGCCAGGAAGGGACACTGGTTTCCGGTCACCCGCTCCAGGCAGGCCCCTCTCCAGACTCGGGCGGCAGCCACCCGGGACCAGAGCTCAGCAGCTGCCCAGGGAGCCAGATTTCAGGGGTCCCTGAGGCAGGTCCAGCTGCCCCCCTGGCCCCTGGCAGCTGACCACTTACTATCGTTAGGTCTGTGCCAGGCCTTCCAAGGCTCTGAGGAAGCTGAGGGCACCTGCACAGGGAGACACAGTAGTGAGGCGAAGACAGGACAGCTACCAGCGGCAGGGCGCCGGGGCCACGGCGTGCTGGGCAGAGCAGGTCTCCACGGGAACCCCGGGACATGGAGCAGCGAGGCCAGAGTTGGGGGTCGGGGGGCTGGTGCCTGAGGAGATGGGGCAGTAAGAGGGTGACATGGGGCATGGGCGGAGGAGGGACCTCTGCTGTCACCCTCACGGGCACATGCTGACGGCAGGAGACAGGAGGAGGCGGAGCCCCGAGAGCCGGGCCCCCGATGCCTGAGGACGGGCAGGGCCAGTCGTCGCACTTGGAGACCAAGCAGCGGGGCTGACCGAGATTGGGAGCGTGGGGTGACGGAGAGGAAGGGGACCCCAATCGCAGGGTGGGTGCAGAGGCCCCAGGGGAGGCGGGTGGGGTGGCCGGAGGTGGTTCCAGCAGCCACTGGACTTCGGACGAAGCTGGCTGCGGGTGGCCGGACCCCAGGGTCTGGCGTGTCGGCAGAGGTGGGCGTGGCCAGGGTTTCAAGCTACAGGTAGACTGAGATCGGAGAAGGCGGAGGGGAGGCCGGGGAGACGTGGAGGGGCCAGAGACCGGGGTTCCCGCCGTGTGCAGACTGAGTTGGCACCAGCGAGGCCCCGAAGGCAGAGGCGAAGGCACTGGGGTGGGGGAGCGCGTGCCAGGCTTCAGCACCCATCCTGAAGCGGGACCCCGGTCCTGGCGGAGCCAGCTAGGAGCAGGCCAGCGGCTGTCAGAGCCCGCTGCAGGCCAGGGGCGGGAAGGAGAGGCCCAGCCACAGGCACATGCAACAGAGATTCTCCAAGACGCAGCCCGGGCCCAAGAGCCCTACTGTTTGCATCTGTTTCCAGCTCAGGAAGCTGAGCCTGTCCCACTGGCCTCCTGTCCCCACTCACCCTGCCCCTGCCCAGCCCTGAGGCCACCCCCACTTCTGGGCCCCACCCTGAGACGGGGGACGGGTGAGGGGGAGTCTGAGCACCAGGGCTCCAGGCCCTGGCCTCCCGACCTCAGGGGGGCCCCAGCGTGGGGCACGCCCACCTGAGCTGACCGCAGGGCCCCTCCACGCCCCCAGCTGCAGGTCAGAGTCGAGGCCCTGAGAGGGTCCTGTCCTGCCCACCACGCCGCGGCTCGGCCTCCCGTTTGCGCGCTGGCCGCCGGGCGC